AGTTATAGTTTGTCAAAATCCATCCATGTTAGGTACCTTTAGACGCGACACATGAGAGCCATGTCGGCTGGCGCTGACAGCCCTTGCTATGGGACTTACTGCACAAAAACGAAACTGGGGGCATCATGTACCTACGTCTGGGGCTCACTCCAAAAGTTTCAAGTCTGAAGCCTTGCCGATTTGTCAGCTTGTTGGCCTATTCATCCGCTATCCAACAAGCTATAGTTTGTCAAAATCCATCCATGTTAAGGTACCTTGACCGAGACTCACATGAGAGCCATGTCGGCTGGCGCTGACAGCCCTTGCTATGGGACTTACTGCACAAAAACGAAACTGGGGGCATCATGTACCTACGTCTGGAGCTCACTCCAAAAGTTTCAAGTCTGAAGCCTTGCCGATTTGTCAGCTTGTTGGCTATTCATCCGCTATCCAACAAGCTATAGTTTGTCAAAATCCATCATGTTAAGGTACCTTTAGACCGCGACACATGAGAGCCATGTCGGCTGGCGCTGACAGCCCTTGCTATGGGACTTACTGCACAAAAACGAAACTGGGGGCATCATGTACCTACGTCTGGGGCTCACTCCAAAAGTTTCAAGTCTGAAGCCTTGCCGATTTGTCAGCTTGTTGGCCTATTCATCCGCTATCCAACAGGTTATTTTGTCAAAATCCATCCATGTTAAGGTACCTTTAGACCGCGACACATGAGAGCCATGTCGGCTGGCGCTGACAGCCCTTGCTATGGGACTTACTGCACAAAAACGAAACTGGGGGCATCATGTACCTACGTCTGGGGCTCACTCCAAAAGTTTCAAGTCTGAAGCCTTGCCGATTTGTCAGCTTGTTGGCCTATTCATCCGCTATCCAACAAGTTATAGTTTGTCAAAATCCATCCATGTTAAGGTACCTTTAGACCGCGACACATGAGAGCCATGTCGGCTGGCGCTGACAGCCCTTGCTATGGGACTTACTGCACAAAACGAAACTGGGGGCATCATGTACCTACGTCTGGGGCTCACTCCAAAAGTTTCAAGTCTGAAGCCTTGCCGATTTGTCAGCTTGTTGGCCTATTCATCCGCTATCCAACAAGCTATAGTTTGTCAAAATCCATCCATGTTAAGGTACCTTTAGACCGCGACACATGAGAGCCATGTCGGCTGGCGCTGACAGCCCTTGCTATGGGACTTACTGCACAAAAACGAACTGGGGGCATCATGTACCTACGTCTGGGGCTCACTCCAAAAGTTTCAAGTCTGAAGCCTTGCCGATTTGTCAGCTTGTTGGCCTATTCATCCGCTATCCAACAAGCTATAGTTTGTCAAAATCCATCCATGTTAAGGTACCTTTAGACCGCGACACATGAGAGCCATGTCGGCTGGCGCTGACAGCCCTTGCTATGGGACTTACTGCACAAAAACGAAACTGGGGGCATCATGTACCTACGTCTGGGGCTCACTCCAAAAGTTTCAAGTCTGAAGCCTTGCCGATTTGTCAGCTTGTTGGCCTATTCATCCGCTATCCAACAAGCTATAGTTTGTCAAAATCCATCCATGTTAAGGTACCTTTAGACCGCGACTCATGAGAGCCATGTCGGCTGGCGCTGACAGCCCTTGCTATGGACTTACTGCACAAAAACGAAACTGGGGGCATCATGTACCTACGTCTGGGGCTCACTCCAAAAGTTTCAAGTCTGAAGCCTTGCCGAATGTCCAGCTTGTTGGCCTATTCATCCGCTATCCAACAAGCTTAGTTTGTCAAAATCCATCCATGTTAAGGTACCTTTAGACCGCGACACATGAGAGCCATGTCGGCTGGCGCTGACAGCCCTTGCTATGGGACTTACTGCACAAAAACGAAACTGGGGGCATCATGTACCTACGTCTGGAGCTCACTCCAAAAGTTTCAAGTCTGAAGCCTTGCCGATTTGTCAGCTTGTTGGCCTATTCATCCGCTATCCAACAAGCTATAGTTTGTCAAAATCCATCATGTTAAGGTACCTTTAGACCGCGACACATGAGAGCCATGTCGGCTGGCGCTGACAGCCCTTGCTATGGGACTTACTGCACAAAAACGAAACTGGGGGCATCATGTACCTACGTCTGGGGCTCACTCCAAAAGTTTCAAGTCTGAAGCCTTGCCGATTTGTCAGCTTGTTGGCCTATTCATCCGCTATCCAAAAGCTATAGTTTGTCAAAATCCATCCATGTTAAGGTACCTTTAGACCGCGACACATGAGAGCCATGTCGGCTGGCGCTGACAGCCCTTGCTATGGGACTTACTGCACAAAAACGAAACTGGGGGCATCATGTACCTACGTCTGGGGCTCACTCCAAAAGTTTCAAGTCTGAAGCCTTGCCGATTTGTCAGCTTGTTGGCCTATTCATCCGCTATCCAACAAGCTATAGTTTGTCAAAATCAATCCATGTTAAGGTACCTTTAGACCGCGACACATGAGAGCCATGTCGGCTGGCGCTGACAGCCCTTGCTATGGGACTTACTGCACAAAAACGAAACTGGGGCATCATGTACCTACGTCTGGGGCTCACTCCAAAAGTTTCAAGTCTGAAGCCTTGCCGATTTGTCAGCTTGTTGGCCTATTCATCCGCTATCCAACAAGTTAAGTTTGTCAAAATCCATCCATGTTAAGGTACCTTTAGACCGCGACACATGAGAGCCATGTCGGCTGGCGCTGACAGCCCTTGCTATGGGACTTACTGCACAAAAACGAAACTGGGGGCATCATGTACCTACGTCTGGGGCTCACTCCAAAAGTTTCAAGTCTGAAGCCTTGCCGATTTGCAGCTTGTTGGCCTATTCATCCGCTATCCAACAAGTTATAGTTTGTCAAAATCCATCCATGTTAAGGTACCTTTAGACCGCGACACATGAAGCCATGTCGGCTGGCGCTGACAGCCCTTGCTATGGGACTTACTGCACAAAAACGAAACTGGGGGCATCATGTACCTACGTCTGGGGCTCACTCCAAAAGTTTCAAGTCTGAAGCCTTGCCGATTTGTCAGCTTGTTGGCCTATTCATCCGCTATCCAACAAGGTATAGTTTGTCAAAATCCATCCATGTTAAGGTACCTTTAGAACCGCGACACATGAGAGCCATGTCGGCTGGCGCTGACAGCCTTGCTATGGGACTTACTGCACAAAAACGAAACTGGGGGCATCATGTACCTATCTCTGGGCTCACTCCAAAAGTTTCAAGTCTGAAGCCTTGCCGATTTGTCAGCTTGTTGGCCTATTCATCCGCTATCCAACAAGCTATAGTTTGTCAAAATCCATCCATGTTAAGGTACCTTTAGACCGCGACACATGAGAGCCATGTCGGCTGGCGCTGACAGCCCTTGCTATGGGACTTACTGCACAAAAACGAAACTGGGGGCATCATGTACCTACATCTGGGCTCACTCCAAAAGTTTCAAGTCTGAAGCCTTGCCGATTTTGTCAGCTTGTTGGCCTATTCATCCGCTATCCAACAAGCTATAGTTTGTCAAATCCATCCATGTTAAGGTACCTTTAGACCGCGACACATGAGAGCCATGTCGGCTGGCGCTGACAGCCTTGCTATGGGACTTACTGCACAAAAACGAAACTGGGGGCATCATGTACCTACTCTGGGGCTCACTCCAAAAGTTTCAAGTCTGAAGCCTTGCCGATTTGTCAGCTTGTGGCCTATTCATCCGCTATCCAACAAGTATAGTTTGTCAAAATCCATCCATGTTAAGGTACCTTTAGACCGCGACACATGAGAGCCATGTCGGCTGGCGCTGACAGCCCTTGCTATGGGACTTACTGCACAAAAACGAAACTGGGGGCATCATTT